ATGATCAAGCTTGGCCTTTCGCTGGACGACGACGATGACAATGGCAATGAGGAAGTGGCGGCCGCCCCTGCCGCCCCCGTGGAGGCCACCGCCGGCACGTCCAGCATGGAGCAGGTCGACTAGAGGTGTTGCACTTGTCGTGGGTCTCGTTTTTTCGTTGCTTTTTTATTATTATGATTCCTCTTTTTTTTTTCCGTATGTGGTTCCTTCCGTGTGGAGGCAAAACTTGTGCACGTTTCTTTTCCCTCTTTAATTCCTTGGTGCAATGAGTTTCTCTCACACGGGCATCTCCCTGCCCACATCATTACTACCACTATTATTATTATTATTATTATTATTATTCCTCTTTGTTTGCTTTGAAAGAAAAAAAAAATGAGCGACTACAAAAACAAATTGGGTGGAGGGCCAAAGAGGGGACCCCACTTCCCTCCCACCTTTGCTGCCGCCTCTGCTGCAGCGTACACCGCAACTGCGCGCCACGCGCTCCGCTGTGTTTATACTTATCCTTTTCCTATTGCTGCGCCTGATTCCTTTTTCTTCTTTATTGGCATTTTCCCTTTTTTTCGCGTGTGTGTTTCTTTTTCTCTTTTTTTTATTTTTGCGCCGCCAGCATCTAACTACGTCTTTCGTAACACAACACCAGCAGCATTCTGCGGCAAGTATAAGCAGGAAGAGCAAGCATACAGCCTATTACACACCCCAAGAAAAAGAGCCCCGTAAAGATGACCGAGACCTTCGCATTCCAGGCTGAGATTAATCAGCTAATGTCTCTCATCATTAATACATTTTACTCAAACAAGGAAATTTTTTTGCGTGAGCTGATCAGCAACTCGTCTGATGCGTGCGACAAGATCCGCTACCAGAGCCTGACGAACCAGGCTGTGCTGGGCGACGAGCCCCACCTTCGCATCCGCGTGGTCCCCGACAAGGCAAACAAGACGCTGACAGTGGAGGACACCGGTATTGGCATGACCAAGGCGGAGCTGGTGAACAACCTGGGCACGATCGCGCGCTCCGGCACGAAGGCCTTCATGGAGGCGCTGGAGGCAGGTGGTGACATGAGCATGATTGGCCAGTTTGGCGTGGGCTTCTACTCGGCGTACCTTGTGGCGGACCGCGTGACGGTTGTGTCGAAGAACAACGACGACGAGGCGTACACGTGGGAGTCGTCTGCTGGCGGCACCTTCACCGTGACGCCGACGCCGGAGTGCGACCTGAAGCGCGGCACCCGCATCATCCTGCACCTGAAGGAGGACCAGCAGGAGTACCTGGAGGAGCGCCGCCTGAAGGACCTCATCAAGAAGCACTCGGAGTTCATTGGCTACGACATTGAGCTGATGGTGGAGAAGACGACGGAGAAGGAGGTGACGGACGAGGACGAGGACGAGGAGGCGGCGACGAAGAAGGAGGAGACGGGTGAGGAGCCGAAGGTGGAGGAGGTGAAGGAGGACGCGGAGGAGGGGGAGAAGAAGAAGAAGACGAAGAAGGTCAAGGAGGTGACGCAGGAGTTTGTGGTGCAGAACAAGCACAAGCCTCTCTGGACGCGCGACCCGAAGGACGTGACGAAGGAGGAGTACGCCGCCTTCTACAAGGCCATCTCGAATGACTGGGAGGAGCCGCTGTCGACGAAGCACTTCTCGGTGGAGGGGCAGCTGGAGTTCCGCGCGATCCTGTTCGCGCCGAAGCGTGCGCCGTTTGACATGTTTGAGCCCAACAAGAAGCGCAACAACATCAAGCTGTATGTGCGCCGCGTGTTTATCATGGACAACTGCGAGGACCTGTGCCCCGAGTGGCTCGGCTTTATGCGGGGTGTGGTGGACAGCGAGGACCTGCCGCTGAACATTTCGCGTGAGAACCTGCAGCAGAACAAGATCCTCAAGGTGATCCGGAAGAACATTGTGAAGAAGGCGTTGGAGCTCTTTGAGGAGATTGCTGAGAACAAGGAGGACTACAAGAAGTTCTACGAGCAGTTTGCCAAGAACGTCAAGCTGGGCATCCACGAGGACAGCGCGAACCGCAAGAAGCTGATGGAGCTGCTGCGCTTCCACAGCTCGGAGTCTGGGGAGGACATGACGACACTGAAGGACTACGTCACCCGGATGAAGGAGGGCCAGAAGTGCATCTACTACGTGACGGGCGACAGCAAAAAGAAGCTGGAGACCTCGCCATTCATTGAGCAGGCGCGGCGCCGTGGGTTTGAGGTGCTCTTCATGACGGAACCGATCGATGAGTACGTGATGCAGCAGGTGAAGGACTTTGAGGACAAGAAGTTTGCCTGCTTGACGAAGGAGGGGGTACACTTTGAGGAGACGGAGGAGGAGAAGAAGCAGCGGGAGGAGGAGAAGGCCGCACACGAGCGCCTCTGCAAGGCGATGAAGGAGGTTCTGGGCGACAAGGTGGAGAAGGTGGTGGTGTCGGAGCGCCTGGCGACGTCGCCGTGCATCCTCGTGACGTCGGAGTTTGGGTGGAGCGCGCACATGGAGCAGATTATGCGCAACCAGGCGCTGCGGGACTCGAGCATGTCAACGTACATGATGTCCAAGAAGACGATGGAGATCAACCCGACACACCCCATTGTGAAGGAGCTCAAACGTCGCGTGGAGGCGGATGAGAACGACAAGGCTGTGAAGGACCTTGTCTACCTGCTCTTCGACACCGCGCTGTTGACCTCTGGATTTGCGCTGGACGATCCCACGTCGTACGCCGATCGCATCCACCGCATGATCAAGCTTGGCCTTTCGCTGGACGACGACGATGACAATGGCAATGAGGAAGTGGCGGCCGCCCCTGCCGCCCCCGTGGAGGCCACCGCCGGCACGTCCAGCATGGAGCAGGTCGACTAGAGGTGTTGCACTTGTCGTGGGCTCGTTTTTCGTGCTTTTTATTATTATGATTCCTCTTTTTTTTTTCCGTATGTGGTTCCTTCCGTGTGGAGGCAAAACTTGTGCACGTTTCTTTTCCCTCTTTAATTCCTTGGTGCAATGAGTTTCTCTCACACGGGCATCTCCCTGCCCACATCATTACTACCACTATTATTATTATTATTATTATTATTATTATTCCTCTTTGTTTGCTTTGAAAGAAAAAAAAAATGAGCGACTACAAAAACAAATTGGGTGGAGGGCCAAAGAGGGGACCCCACTTCCCTCCCACCTTTGCTGCCGCCTCTGCTGCAGCGTACACCGCAACTGCGCGCCACGCGCTCCGCTGTGTTTATACTTATCCTTTTCCTATTGCTGCGCCTGATT